AACCAGAGCACGTGACCTGTCGCTTTCGTGTGTCCTTCTTTTTCCACTCACTTTGTTTTCCAGGTAGGAAAAGTGAGCTCCCAAGACAGCAGGTCAACTCACACTTCCCATGTGCTCTGGGCACAGCTTGCTTCAAGTTCGGGTACAGCACAGATGGAGGCAGAGAGGCCGGACATGGTCTCTGGGTAGAGTGGTCTAGCAGAGCCCGTTTTTGGCAGTTTGGATTTTCTAGATACGGAGCTCAGTCCCAGCCGATGACTGCCCTGCCACCGGTCTAAGTGAGGTACCTTCCAGCGGTTCTAGCCTGCATTCCTTACAGAGGCCAGGCAGTAGACGGTGCCTGGCTGCCCTCGGTCAGCCACCAGGTGGCAGCAGAGTCTGCCGAGGACCGGAAGCCGGGGGCAGAGCCTGTGAGTCATTTATCATTTATTCATCACCTGGAGTGGGTGGTTGGCCCGCCTGCGGGTGGCTGGCCTTGAGTCCTTTAGCTCAAAGTCAAACCCGTTAGCGTGCTGCTGGTGTGGCCCTTGACAGTGCTCAGAAGTGGTGGTGAGATGGCTAGTGTCTAAGATTTGATTTAACGTCGAAGTCAGGGCCTGAGTCCTCAAAAGTCTCACAGCACAGCTTCCGTATTGCGCCTCTGATATTCTTGCTGGTGTGTGCGTGTGCGTGTGCGTGTGCGTGTGCGTGTGTGTGTGTGTGTGTGTGCATGTGTGTTTGTGTGTGTGTGCATGTGTGTGTAGGACAGCAGTTGACATCAGGTGCTTTCCTCAGTAGTTCTTCACCTTAGTTTTTGAGACAGAGTCTCTCCCTGAACCTGGCATTCACTGATTGGCTAGACTTGCTGGCCAGGGAGTTGTGTTACCCAGCTGTTTCCAACCCCCTTCCGCCCCACTATACCTGACTTGACATGGATGCTGGGGATCAAATTCGGGTCCTCATGTGAGTCCAGCAAGCGCGTGGCCAACTGAGCCACCTCCCCAGCCCCCATCCGGCTGATTTCTAGAATGTCAAGGATGTGCTAACGCTCCATAGAATGCCCTGCTTATGTGTGGAGGGTTATTTTTCAAAGCTGAGGCCTGAAGATGGCGAGCCAGTTCTAGAAGCCCCGCTGCCTGATGCCTCCCGGGACACTGCAGCTGTGCAGCCGCATTTGGCTCCGTGAGGTTCTAAGATAAGCCCCTTCCCTAGCCAATGGCAGGCACAGCCCCTGCTCAGCAGGGGATTAGGAGCTGTCCTCTAGCAGAGGCACTAGCAGAGCTTTGGAGGCATGGGAACACCTGTGGCAGGGATTTGGGAATTCCTTTGAAGAAGGGGACATCCTCTCTTTCTTCCTGAAGGCTGAAAATTCTCATATAGGATGGGAGCAGTGCAGCTGCCCCCAAGTCCTGTAGAAAACCCCATGCTCGACTTTCAATTACTTTGAAAACTAAGAAACTTCACATTCAGGCCTTGTGTTAGAACTGAGAATGAGGATGTAGATATATTATTAAAGGGGGATTCGCTAAGTTGGCTTATATGACCGGCTGGGTGGTCCAGCAATGGCTGCCTACGTTCTGGAGGAGCTGAGAACCCAGCAGATACTCACTCTGTGAAGCCAGAGCTGAGGGCCTGGAGGATCCCTGGAGAGCCACTGGTCCTCTGGAAACCTGAAGAAGCTGGGTTCTGATGTCAGTGCAGGATGGAGTGGCAGCGGCAGTGACAGAGTAGATGCACTCACCAGCAGGAAGCAGAGGCAGGCAAACGGCAGTGCTTTTTCTGTGTTCTTTGACAAGTTTATACAAGTAAATAATGCATCTTGATCATCTGCACCCCAGCTCCCCCCTCCCCTTCCCCTCAGATGCCCCCAATGACTCCCTTTGTATCTTCTCTCTCCCTCTCCAGCTCCTTTTTTTTAGTAGCCCACTGTGTCCCATCAATGCTCCTGAAGGAATGTTGGCTGATTTTGTGCAGGTTACCACAGCTGCAGTGAGTTCACACACGCACTGGCCACCTTGCTGAGATTACAAAGGAACACCACCATATCGTACTTTTTCTAAAGAAGTGTGGGTTCTGGGATCAAACTCAGGCAGATGCTCGGGCTTGTTTGGTAGGTGGTTTACTGACTGAGCCACCTGCCCAGCCGGGGAAGGGATCCCTTCTGTCCCTCCTGGTGTACATCGGAAGGGTCCCCACTTCCCTCCGAATAAAGTGCCCTCTCCCACCTCTTCCCTCACCACCTTCTCGGTCCCGCCTTGTCTAACAGCCCGCCACCTCCTCACTGCCTTTCCTGGACACGCCAGGTCACCACACCGCTCAGAATTCTCTCTGCCCTCTGGAGTGCTCCACTCCCCAGCCCCCTTCCAGACTCCATTCTATCCTGTGAAATGTTGCCCAGGATCACATCCCTAAGACCTTGCCTGTCCCATTGCCTGTCCCCAACCCTCCCAACCCTCCATCCCACTACCCAACCCTCTACCTTCCCACCCCACTGCCCAACCTTCCCAACCCTCCACCTCACTACCCAACGCTTCCAATCCTCTATCCCACTACCCAACTCTCCCAACCCCCTACCCCACTGCCCAACCCTCCCAACCTCCCACCCAACTACCCAACCCTCCCAACCCCACTACTTAACCCTACCCCACTTCCCAACCCTCCACCCCACTACCCAACCCCCACCCCACCACTCCGCTGCCATCTCCAGTCAGTAGACTGAACTCGATCTTTCTCCCCTTTTTGCTAACACGTGCCTCCTCAGGTGTCCTGCTGAGGATGATGGCTGATCCTAGCTTGTTAGGGTTGCCAGGTTCTGATCCCAGCACCTGCGGACACAAATCAGCTCTCACCTGAACAGGCAGAAGTATTAGTTTATTCTGGAGCCAAATATGAGTGGCTCAGGGACACAGATTTAGGTCACTCCAAACTCCATCTTCGAATGTGGAAGTCATTTCATGTTGTCTTTTATGGTAACAGACAGTGATAATCAAGGTATTTTTCAGATACCTGGGTGGGACACCCCAGAGGTGGGTTACAGCCCAGCAGAGAGACCTTAGCTATAGGCCTCAGATGGGATTCTTAGCCCTTTGATGGTAGAAAATAGGCTTTTGTTAATACATCCCGAAAGGTTTAACCCATTAGTCATGGGATGTTAGGTCTGGCAGACGTGGGCAAGGAATGGCTATTTAGAGAGCTAAAGATGGCCCAAGATAAATTATGATTAGGCTGTGAACCTGGAACATTCCAACCTCTCCATGTCGCTGAAGTTTCAGTCAGTCAGCCAGCCTTTGCAGACATGACTTCTTTCTAGGAGTTCTCTCTCGTAAAACTGTGACCATGTCAGCTTATTAGAACCTGGTAATATGCTGTGACTTGCTTTGTTTTGCGTGGAAGGGATGGGTCTCAGGACCTAATGCATGGTCAAGCCTGTGCTACTGGGCTGTGCTTTTCCTACATCTGCACTCCCTGGCACATACTGGGAATTAACAGAAGTGTGGATCCGTTTATCTGTGTGTGGATGAGTCAGTTGCTCTCCATCTTACATTGTATATTCTTCTGGAATTTACTGGGCTTTCCAGAACTTATGTGAGGAGATTCAAATACCAGCAGTAATCTCCAGGTACATCAGCCACTGTACAGCTGATTGTACAGTTTGCTCAGCAAGATTATCTGTGCCTCGCCACAGGACCACAGTCTCTACATGTGAAGTCCCTGCTACGCTTCGGGTTATGTGTCTGGTGATTTATAAACTTAGCTGGCTGGGAGTCTGGGATGTAACACAAGAGACAGAGGAGATGTTCCAGCTACTGAAGACCTGACACATAGAAAGGGGGGTAGGGTAGATCCTTGGGTGGGGTGTGCAGCAGCCGTTGAAGTCATTTAATGAGACCTTCTCCCTGTCCCCGGAGATGCCTGCACTCACCCACAGATAGCTGTGTACCCCGTCCAGGTCTTGTCTCACCACTGTGATTTGTTGTGGTAGAAATAAGGAAGGAGTCTGGAAGCCGTTAAGGTCACTTTGTGCAGAGACCATGGCACTACATCATGCTGAATAAAACTCGATCGTTATGCCGTCATTCTTTCCAGAACACACTGCAGATAATTCTAGAAAGTGTGTGTGTGTGTGTGTGTGTGTGTGTGTGTGTGTGTGTGTGTGTGTGTGCATGTAGAGGCCAGAAGTTAACAATGAGTGTTATTCCTTAGGAACTAGCCTTATTGTCTTTTGAGACAGAGTCTTTCACCTGGGACTCACCAATTAGGCTAGGCTGGGTAGCCAGCAGCCCCAGGGGTCTTCCTGCCTCTGCCTTCCCGGTTTTGGGATCACAAATATGCACCACCATGCCCAGCTTTTGTTTTTGTTTTTTGTTCATGGGTGTTTTCCTTACACGTATGTCTGGACACCACTTACATGCCTCATGCCCATAGAGGCCAGAAGAGGGCAATCTGCTGCTCTTGGATGAGAGTCACACATGGTTGTGAGCCTCCATGTGGGTGCTGGGAACCAAACTCAGGACTTCTGGGGAAGCAACCAGTGCTCTTAACTGCTGGGCCTTGTCCCCAGATTTTTATGTAGGTTCCTGGCAGGGGCTCAGATCCCCATGCTTGCATGACAAGCATTCCTGACAGCCATCGGCCCAGACTGAGGTATTTGAGGAGCCCTGTGACAGGTCTTTTGTCTCTGTCCTCAGAAGAGCTCCCCCATGGAGCGTAGATATCACACCCGCTTCCAAGGAAGAGCACCACAGCTCAGCAAGTTAAGCTGCCTGGAGTCTCTTATTACCCACAGACAAAGAGCTGCTGCCTAGAGGTGTCCAAATCTAAACCCACTCACAGGAAACCGGAGTGAAATCTTTTAGAAAACGGACACCTGAGAGATTCCATAAGTAAATACCTGTGGTCTATTTATTTTTAAAGCCGTATTTGTCCATGCATGTGTATTTCAATTTTTTTCTTATGAAAGTGTTTTTTAATAAACCGATGTAGTCCAATGCTGTCACATAAAAATCCCGTGCTATATCCAGGTAGCAAAAGCAAAGGTTCCTGGTGTTTCTATGTAAACAGTGAGAATGACAGTACCACTTAACAAGACATTACCTTCAGGTGGGGAAGATGCCCTGAGGACTCCACAGTGGAGAATGCATGTGTGTGGACACGTAGATTATAAAATCTAACCACTGAGTGACACGCTCAAGCCGTGTGTGTGTGTGTGTGTGTGTGTGTGTGTGTGTGTGTGTGTCTGTGAGAGAGAGAGAGGGGGGGGGCACTTTGGGGAATTGGTTCTCTCCCACCATGCGGGTCCCTGGGATTGAACTCAGGTTCTCATGTTTGATAGCAGATGTCTTTAGCCACTGGACCATCCCACCTACCCTGAGTGTGGTGTCTAAAACCTGCTTTCTCCTCTTAGAATAGCAGGGCATCTATGAATCCATCAGGGACGACCTTCACCGTGCTCATGAAAATCTAGGCCATTTCAACCTGTGGTTACCTGAGGCTGGACTTTCTGGGAAGCCCCAGTGTCAAATTTCAGTCCCATTTGTCAGAGTACCCATTTCTATTCGGGGATGGTGTAGAACAACAGAAAGATCCTCAAGTCTGAGTCCTTAAATGTTTCAAACCTGAGATGGATGGAGGGAAGGAAAGGGGGTAGAGACAGGCAAGCAGAACGCAAGGATGGCGGAGGGACGGAAACGCTGGAACGGTGCAGCGGCCAGGCTGGGCTCCCAGGAGTGTGGGGAGAGGAGGCTGTAGCAATGGAGGGCCCTGTGGAGCTTTTCTTGCCAAGGTATTACGTAACCCACAGAATGGGAGGGCAGGGGTGGCCACCCAGGCTGTTGGCTCAGCTCCTGTGTTTCCCCGACTACAAGTCACTGAAGCCACCACGGGCATCCAGCCAGAGCCTCAGAAGAGTTGCTCTCAGCATCCCTCAGGCAGCTCCCTGGGCAGGCAAGGGGCCTGTGATGGTTATACTGCTCATCATCTCGACAGGAGCTAGAGTCACCTCGGGGAAAACCTCTGGACGTGCCTATGAGGGAGTTTCTAGATCAGGTTAATTGAGGTAGGAAGACCCACCTTAAATGTGGTCTGAGGGTCCCAGACTGGCTAAAACAGTGAGAAAGTGACCTGAGAACCAGCATTCTCCTCCGGGGCTTCCTGACGGTGAGTTCCGTGTGAGCAGCTGCCTCGGGCTCCTGCTACCACGGCTTTTCTGTCATGGTGGACCATCCCCTCTGACTGTGAGCCAGAGGAACCCTTCTCTCCTTAAGTAGCTTTGGTCATGACCAAGGCAGCTTGTAAAAGGAAGTGTTTAATTTGGGGATCACAGTTCCAGGGGGTTAGAGTCCATGACTATGGAGGTAGGGAGCCTGGCAGCATGCAGGCAGGCATGGTGCTGGAACAGTAGCTGTGAGCTCACGTCTTGATCCACAAGCATGAAGGAAAGAGAGCTAACTAGGAATGGCATAGGCTTTTTGAAACCCCAAAGCCCTCTGCTAGTGACACACCTCCTCCAATAAGGCCACACCTCCTAATCCTTCTCAACGAGTTCCACCAACTGGGGACCAAGCATTCAATTATATGCACCTATGGGGGCTTTCTCGTTCAGACCATCACAGTTCGGTAGTTTGTCAGCACAGAGAAAGGTAACTCATATAGGGGCCTATTGGTCAATTGTCCAGCTAAAGGTTTGTGACACCCTTCCAAGGCAGTTGGAATTTCAGTTTCTTCTGTGTACAGCCTCAAAGAGAGAATGTCAGATGCAAAATTCGTTCTTAAAGAGGGAGTTAGGTGAATTCCCCCAAGGTCAGGCAGATAGCTGGCTACTTCAGTCTTGAGGCATTGAGAGTGAAAGCAGCTAGAGCCATGGCCCATTTGGTAGAATGCTCTGACCTGTGTTCCGTCCTATAAACCCATAATACACATATAAGCCAGGTATGGTGGCACACGCTTGCAATCCCAGCACTAAAGAGGTAGGGACAGGAGTCCTAAGGCTTGCTGGGCAGAAAGCCTAAACTAGTTGGCTGGTCCCAGGCCAGTGAAAGACCCTGTCTCAAAAACAAACACATTCAAAACCAAATTAGGGAGTGTGTAAGGAGTGACATCCGAGGTTGTCCTCACACGCACATGCACACATATGCACGTTGACCTGCACACACTGACAATTCTGGGTTATGACACCTTCATCTGATTCTCATTTCTTCACAGCCCTCAGCACTGCAAAACCTGGATTACTTTTTAATCTTCTTTCCTATTTTTGTTATTCTGCTGTTGGGCTGATTATGCAGAGCTGCGCGTGTTGTTGATTCTGCGACACCTGTTCTCTGGGGACAGAGACAGAGCTCTGCTTTCAAACCTTCCCCTTGATCCTCTCACAGAGCGATGCACGGGTGCTCACCCTGTCCACCAAGACCCTAGAGACTGACACTTTACATGGGCTTGTCACATGAGCCACACCAGGCAGGAGGCTCGGAGGCACCAAGATCCCAAATCTATTAATACCCTTTAGCCCTCTGTCTCAAATGGTAAAGGAATAAATGCATGGGGAAAAATCAGCCTCTCTGCCAAAGAGGACAGAAAGCAAGTTGGCTGTGATGGTGTCACCTGGAATCACCTCCAGGGAAGTGCTGCATCACTCCAGATCAAGGACCGCAAGGAGGCCTGGTGAGTGACAGTCCTGTTCTGGCTGTGTCTCAGACAGCAAAGCCTCAAAGCAAAGTGAAAACAGATTCCTGCACAGGAGTAAGGGAAGTTGTGAGAGCCTGCTCTCTGCTCCAGGGTGATGGTCCTGAGTCAGAGTAAGGGAAGTTGTGAGAGCCTGCTCTCTGCTCCAGG